GAAATAAGATTTTCCCACTGTATGGACCGAGGCCCATCCTCAATGGGCTCCCTATTCAGGCCCAAATCATAAAGCATACTGAAGAAAAAGGGTAGAGCATTTTCGAATTTGGGCCATTGTCATGTAAAACTTTTATATATATATATATATATATATATATATATATATATATATATATATATATAAGGTTCACTTTTTCTGTAGTTACTGGAGATAAGTTATGTGCAGTAAATCTAATATGATGTCATTTTGGGTGGAAATTATGGTATTTTTGTGATTTTAATTTATTTCAGGGTTATTATAGTCTTTATAATTATAATTTTCTAATCTTTCAGTCTCAAAATAACGTTGTTTTATAAGTAGATAATTTATCTGTGTTAACTGCAGAAATATTTTTCTGATATATATATAGAGAGACTTATCATTTCTCAAGCTGCTTGAGATAATTTTATCTCGGGCTATTAAATCATAACCGTACAAAGATGGATCAATGATGATAAAGGACGAGAGAGAAAATGTAAAACATAACCATTCAAAGGTGAATCAATAAATATAAGGAAATAAATAAACTAAACGACGTAGTTTTGGGATGACCGGAGATAAGCTCATCTCAAGTTGTCGAATAAACATTTTTCCATATATATATATATATATATATATATATATATATATATATATATATATATATATATATGTATGGCTTTAATGTTTCTACAGGAAATGTAGATAAATTGTTTATATTCACTCCCAGAACGATGTTGTTTTGGATTGAAAAATTAAAAAAATTATAATGAGAAAGACGTCGTTTTGGGATCAATGTAGATAACTTCTCTACATTGATCGCATAAAAAACGAACCATATATATATATAGAGAGAGAGAGGTGTGTATCATTTTAAAACATGTAAAATTGTGTCATTTTAAGTGAGAGAAATAGATATATTATGTGGGAGAGAGAGTGGACAAAAAAAAATAAAGATGTGGGTCTCATCTCTTTGTGAGAGTAAAATGATACAAATTGTGTCATTTAAAAGAACAAATAATTTTCCCACATATATATATATATATATATATATATATATATATATATATATAGCATAGATTTCGATATCTCATAATATGATAAAATTATCTCTTATTACGTGAGAAAACAATTTCTCTTTATTAATTGTCGAACTAATCCGATTTGAGTATTATTAGACGTGGTTCTTCCAATATTATTTACTCTATTTCCAGGGCTGTGACTCAACTTATTAATGGAAACAAATTTTGGTTATTGATTTGTCATAAAACTTTAGGGGGTGGGAATTGAACCCGTCATATGACATGTAAAATATTATTCGTGTCAGATTCCCTTTATTGGTTGGTTTATAATCTTTTAAGGGGTGTTTGATAGGAGAATTATTTTGAGATATATGAAAAACTGATGGTGAGATTTCAAGATGACCATCTTTGATGGCACATTTGAGAAAAAGATTCCGAGAAAGTAATTTTTCTGGAGTCCTTATTGTGTTTAAAAATTGAAAGAGGGTGGTATTTTCGAATTCCCGTGGGAATATTTTCAACATTTTTGCTTTACTGACGAGCATGTTCAGTTACTCTTTTGCTGTTTTGTGCTCGTGGGAACCAAATAGGGATGATCTATTTTTTTTTTTGGACGAAAAATGAAAAGAAAAAACAAACAAATTGGGTGTGGCAACACCTATCAGGTCGTTCATAAAAATCGGAAAACAAATAGGTGGAGGATCCTCATATATCTTAGTCTCCCTTCCTTGAAGAAATGTTTCACCATCCAAGCAGTATGTCCAGTGGCAGAGCCAGAAATTAATACGAGGGGACGAAAATAAAAAATATTATATTATAAATAAAAATACATATAATACAATTTAAATCGAATATGATTTTTAATTATATTTTAAATGAAGTTAGCTTAAATGTATTATAAAATCTATCATGATTTTTTTGCCTTAATATGCATTATATTTTTGTCAATCCATATTCGGCTTCGTATCACATGGATCTAAATGCTTTTATTTTTTAATAATACAAAATGGTTTTAATTTTAATTTTTTGTCTTGTTTTACACAGTTAATTTTTTTACACAAAACACTTATTTCATATCACAGGCGAACCCAGAACCATTTTTTGGTAAACGTATAGTCCAGCTTGTGCTTATTCACCAAAACATCTACCTATAAAAAAATTTTCCCAAGTTTTAAGGGGGCCGGGGGCCAACCCTAGCCCCCCATGTGGGTCCGCCACTGAGTCTGCCACATAGTTCCCTTCTTTGAAGGTGTGAGTGCACCTATTCTCCCAAGGATTACGAAGGAGAAGTTGAATCTTTCGTGACTGAAAAGTTAGAAAGATAGAGGTTAGTTTCGTAAATTATTTTATATTTCCAGCAATATTTGACAATTAACTAAATATAAAATTGAAAAACTTGAGCTAATATTTCGATAATATTTTAGCTTACCAAATAATTTTCTGATAACATTTTTGAGAAATTAGCTTTTTTACCATATTATCAAAAATTTAAATTCTCGGATAACTTTTTTTTTTTCGTTCTGCCAAACGTTCCATAAAGTCACTTATAAAGGATACTAATGATTCAATCTCATCATATAACAAGTACAATCATTTATGACACTGGATAAAAACAAATATTTACTTTGTAATGAAAAAATAAATGGAAAAAATATTCGTGCTTCTCATTATCAAGAGAAGAGAGAAGAAAAATCAATAAAATCTATTCCTTTTATATAAATATGACTGAGAAAATTTTCTATAAAAAACATGAAAATGATAAACTCATAAAAGATACTCACTGTTTATCATTGAAATCGTAGACTGACAATATATATCAATTTGACTGAGATATAAGAATCAATAAGGGAATGTTATATTTATCACCATTTTAGTATTATTATTTTTGTAGTTATTGTTAAATCAATTTAAAATCAACGGTTGAAAAAGTAGAAAAATTAACCACTGTTAATTTTAAATTGATCTACCAATAACAAAAAAAGTAATAAGAGTGATAAATCTAAAATGATAATAAGCATAATTGCCTCCTAATGTCAGATGCCATGGCAAAAAAAAAAAAAAAAATCATATAAGAAGCATGTTTTGGCTATTTGACTATTTTACCCCTCATTAATTAATTAATAACCATTTTGTCCCTGATTCGAAACTATTTACTAATATGTCCCTCTTTAATCGACTACCTTGCATTTTTAATCGACTAAATGGTTGTTGGGAGATTTAATCGACTAAATCTCCCTACTTAATCGATTAAAAAAACATACTGACTTGTTTTCCTTTGTTGTCTGTTGGGAGATTTAATCGACTAAATAGGAAGATTTAGTCGATTAAATCTTCCAACAACCATTTTTGCCTGTTTTGGCCATTTAGTTGATTAAAAATGCAAGGTAGTCTATTAAAGAGGGACATATTGGTAGATAATTTCGAATCAGGGACAAAATAATTATTAATTAATTAATAAAGAGCAAAAGAGTGAAAAAAACGAGCATGTTTTTTTTTTTGGGTAAACAGAAGCATGTTTATTTCACGTGTTAACAATATTGCACCACTTAAATTTTTTTATATATATTTTAGTACCAATAATCAAATAACTGTTGGAATATAACCTCTATCTCACACGTTGTATGAGATAAAATTGTGAGTCTCATTTATTTTCGTGTGTGTCTGTAAAAAAACTATATTCCCTTATTTATTTTGTAATACTCGCAATCATTGCTTTTTTGCTTATTATAAATTGGTCCCATTATGCAGATGGGTGGTATTTATATACGCGGGTATGAATAAAATATTAAGGGGATTACGTTTTTGGTATGGTACGAGACAAATTGGTTCATGCAATAAATAAAAAAATGAACGAAATCTACTTAAAAAATAGAGACAGAAAGCAAAAAATAGATCCCATTTACTTATGCTTTATAAATCTGATGATGTTTCAAAGACTAAGTTTGAGTTCTTTTTAAAGAAAAAACAAAAAATCGTCGGTCATGTGCTACGTGGTGGAAATTTTCAATCTAAGTCTCCTTGTTTTGTTTTTAACTAAGTTTATACAATTTTGTAAAAAGGAAAATTCTTATACACATATATCAAATAATAACATTTTACGAGAGAATTTATATGATAATAATATAATCAAATTCAAAATAATATAAGAATATGTTATGAAATTAAACCGTAAAATATCTTCTTCTTCTTTTTTGTTAAATAACCGTAAAATATCTTTATACTTCATCAAAATTAATCTTTCTAAAATATAGAAATAATTCCAAATAGTGCCAAATAGTGCAACACATTGATTTTATTTTTCCAACTTTAAAGTAACATATTTAATATCTTAAAAATATAAATAAATAACAATAATTTATTCTCTTAATAGTTATGATAATTTAATAATTTTTTTTTACAAAACCTATATATAAATTAAAGGACGAAGAATGTTATATTTATCATCAATTAAGCTTATTATTTCTTACCATCAAATTTTAATAGTTGATTTTTGTTAATTTGAATAAGTGTCATTCAATAAATGATAAGATTGACGAAAATCATCGGTTAAGATTTGGTGATAAGAAATAATAAATTTAATTGATAATAAGTATAACTTTTCCCTTAGAAACCAGTCATTTTAGTTAAAATGAATATTTTTTTTATTTAAAACTAAATATTATAATTTTCATCATGTATCTTTTTTATTCTTATTTAAAATTTATAATTTTATCTAAAATAACGCATTCCGTTTACCGGGAAAAAATATAGGAACGCATCGATTCCAGGCATATCCATGCATGCTTATCCGCTTGACAAATCAACAGTTGGAGTACAAGAGTAGCATTATTAGAGAGTTTTGATACGCCACGAAAATTACCAAATCAACCCTCCGAGCGACGTCGTATTCACGCTATTCTTTCTTTTGTTATTCTCTCCAAACCCAAATTATTAATTATGACTCTTTGACTTCTCCTTTCTCCCCTCTCACCGGAACAACCGTTCGCCGGAGAACTCTCAGGGAAACCATTGCGGCGGAGGATCCAGATTCCCATTCCACCGTCCGCGTGCCTTTTCCCATGCTCATTTTTCACCTGTATGCGTTTTTCCCCTTTTAAGTTGCTGGCTTTTTGGAACGTGAACGCTAATTTATTTGTTTTTCGTTCTTTCTTCAATTCGACGAGCACCCACTTCAGGTGTTGAAGTAATTGACGTTTTATTTGTAGCAAAATGAAATTTTTTTTCCTTCCTTTGGCTGCTTGCTGATTTTTCTGTACTTCAATTGCAGGGTTTAGCATGGGGAAAACTAGGTGGTTGATATTGGTTACCTGTTTATGCATGTTTGCCTTTTCGGATTGTAGAGGTAAGAATGGAACTTGTGCGTTGGGTTTATAAATATTACTTGTCTTCATGTCTCTCTGCTATCTTTCAATGCATTGGATTATTTAGTTTTGTGTGTCTATCAATGATGAGGGATCCTTAGATTTTATTCATTTTATTTGGTTGGTAAAATGAAGCTTTTATTAGACAGTGAGAAAATAGGGATACAGAGGGAGAGGATCAGGAACCCCTTTTGAAAGAGTTCAGAAAGGAAAGAAAACCAATAGGGGAGAGAATATTACATTTTTGCTTACAGGTGGCCTAGTGTTGGTTTGATTTTTAATTTAGTTGGATGTTGTTGTTGGGTTAACCCAGGTTAGGCATCATGTTATTTCTCTTTTCAGTACAGTTGTTCCCTTTTTCTGTGACTTCAAAATTGTGGACAATGAATTTATCTGTTTCTAATTCAGTAGCGGAATAGCCAATTTAAAAGGTATGATATGGGAGTGGATAATGTTGTGGGCCATTCGGAGGTATGCCCTTTTATTTGTACTGGTTTAGGAAATGCATTGCATATGCATATTTGTGAGGATTATCTGATATATAATGCATGCTTCAAACACAATAGACAGGATCTTTCTTTTTCTGTATTTGAAAAGTCAATGACTGATTCACATATGCAAATATGTCTACTATTTCATGGATGAAATAATATGAAGTCATGAGATACGAAGAACTTATATTCTGAATCATAGTCTTGTGGATCATTCACATTTTCATACCAATAATTCATTTTCCATTTGCAGAACTCAAGGCTAGGCATAAAAGTAATCTTCCCGAGTATAATCATACACTTGCTACAATATTAGTTGAATATGCCTCTGCGGTGAGTTCTCTGGGAATTTTATGTGTTCAACCTTTAAAAATTATAGGTAGGGGAATTATAATTATTTATTCATTATTTCTTTTCTAACTTATCATGGAGGGTTGATAAGGAATTCAGTAGTGTAATGAAAATTTCAAGTTTCTGCTTGGCCTTGTTTAAGCTGGTTTAATGCTGTAACTTTAATTATGAGTCCAATATAGATTTTTTGTTGTTTATAAGAATTCCCCAAAATAAGTTTTTGAGACAATTTTAACTAGGCAATTTTAAATCATATCTTGTTTCTTTTTCTGATAAAGGAAGTCAATGTCTTCATTTCTGCTTTTGCACAACTAAAATGATTTAACATTTGAGGGACCTTCTCAGCTGCTGATCCTGATATAGAGACTCCCCATCCTGGTCAGGCTAAGGCCAAAATAAGTCAAACTGGGATAAAGTTTATCAGAATAACTTAAGATTTTAAGTCATTTTGTGGGAATTATGTATGAATTATATAAAACGACTGAAGTAGGTTTGGTTCTTGCAGGTATACATGTCAGATTTGACGCAACTTTTTACTTGGACATGCTCTAGATGTGATGACTTGACCAAGGTGCTGAGAATGTGAATTATTAATTTTAACTCTGCATGTTCACTTATGTCGTGAGTGAGCTTTGAATTATTTACATTCTAGTATCCTACTAATTTTGCTTTTCTTTTAAAATAGTTGGTCTAAAGATCTTTAAAATGTAAACAGGGATTTGAAATCATAGAGTTGGTTGTTGATATCGAACATTGCTTACAGGTGGGTGAATTCTCACCACGGAAACAATATTCCTTTAAATTATAGAAATAATTAATTCTCTTCATTTTCTTTTTTCACTTGTTAATTACATCTATTGTTCTTATGTAATTATCACTACCTATTCTAGGCATTTGTTGGAGTGGCAGAGGATCCTCATGCCATTATCATTGCATTCAGAGGAACTAATGAACGCAGGTGGATTTTCTTACTGGCTTAATTATTTTTTTTGAAGGCATTTCAAACCTGTTAGGCATGTTAAAATAGATCTATTGGAGTGTAGTGTTATATGTGATGCCTAGACACAGATCCCAGCATATTTTAGAAACAAGAAAGAATGTTTTCTTTGTGCATGTGAATTTTGTATGAACAGATATTCACATGCATGCATATGTAGTTGTAAGCTAAGAAAATGTATTTAATTTGATTTACTCTGCATGCAATGCAATGTTGGCATAACGACGTCATGAATATTTAAAGCATAGATGACCAAGTAATATGTCTTGTTTCTAGATTTACTTGCACCAGGCATGCCATTTCTGTGACCCAAAATTATTTTAGTTTTTAAATACTATAGATGGCTATCCATATCCGATCATGTTTGAGACCTTGTACATTATAGGTTGTTGTGTTTCGAACAGGGCATATGTTCTCATGTATTGACTTTTGAGTCAGAGCATAATCATCTATATTTGAAGAAAACATGTTGGCTGATCATGTTTGAGACCTTGTAAATTATGGATTGTTGTGTTTCTTAAGATAACATAAGTTCTCTTATGTTGTTAACCTTTGAGAGAGCCTTACAGTATACTATTTTCCCACGGAGAAAACATTTTGTCCTTAAATACATGTTTAAATGTAGAACAGTTCAAGTCTGTCAGATTTTTTGCTCACTTTTGAGACAACTTGAGTTATATACTGAGCTGATTTATTTGTAACTGCTTTTATACAGCTTACAAAACTGGATCGAAGATTTATATTGGAAGCAGCATGAAATAAATTATCCAGGCATGGATGATGCAATGGTGTGTGCTGTGAAAAGTTTATCCTTACTTTATGCTCTGTATTAGTGTCAGTTCCGATATATTTTCATCATTGTCTCCAGGTACATCGTGGTTTTTATACTGCGTACCACAATACAACAATACGTCCTGCAATTTTAGATGCTGTTGAAAGAGCAAAGAAGTTTTATGGAGATATTCAAATTATAGTAACAGGGCACTCAATGGGAGGGGCAATGGCTTCCTTTTGTGGACTTGATTTAACGGTAATAATAATTTAGCTTTCTTGGCATTACTGTTCATTATACATCAAGGTTTTTGTGATCTCAACTCTCAAGCTCCCTTTGACTTCTTTGTATAAGAATTGTCTATATTTTGCCTCGGGCTGGGGCTTTGAATTTCTTGTGGAACTCTTATATTTGGAAAGGTGTTTATTCAACATTAGAAATTTATATAGCTGGTCCCAAGCAAAAGACGAGGATTGTATTAGGCAATCTGTGGCTGATGTAAATTTTTTTCTAATCCTCTATGACAAGGATCAATGATATTGGACTAGCATCTTTTGAGGAGAAAATGATGAAAACTCTCTTAAGGTAATACTAGTTTGGTCATGTGAGAAGAAGGCCAACAGAAGCTATAGTGATAAAAGGGGATCAAATGGAAGATAGTTTAATTGAAAAGGGTAGAGGAAGCCTAAATTTTTTGGAGAAACCATTACAATCTAAATGGATTTTCTGAAAATTTGGCATTTTGATAGAGTTAAATGGCGTTGATTATTTAGTGGAATAAGGTTATTTGTTGTTGTCGTGGCTGTTGAACTTTGAATTGTATGACGTGGGATTGGGGACTTTACTTGCTAGCTGTAGAATTTAGATGAAAAATAAATATTTTCTCATTTGTGTAATTGATGGATACGTAGGTGTTTGTTAAACTGAATTTATCAAACTGATTAAGACAAACTAACTGTCATTTCTAGTTTCATTCAGAAACTGAGTTGGTGTAGTTTTTTTAAAAAACAATTTTTTATTCATGGTTTAGGATATTCTCCAATGTTGGGAACAAAATCACCTCTAGACTTAGTTTTTAACTCTTTCTTTGATATGTGTTAAATATTTTTTAACGTTTTCTCTCTTTATATTTTTGTGATATTTGTGTTGAGGTATTATATAAACGGGTTGCAGTTTCTTGCATTGTTGTGTTATTTTTCTTTTGTATTACTTACTTTCAGATGTGTTTTCTATAAACTACGCATTGATCAGAGAATAGAGTCCAAAGTCCAAACTGCTAACTTCTTGTATTATTGTTTTGTATAGATCATTACTTAAGTCATCATTTCAAGATTTTCCTATTTTGTAAGGATGAAATAGTTACATGTTTGGTTGTACATTCTTACAGGTTAATCAACATGAAAATAATGTTCAGGTTATGACATTTGGACAACCTCGTGTTGGCAATGCTGCTTTTTCATCTCTCTACAGCAAACTGATTCCAAATACAATCCGAATCACAAATGACCATGATATCGTTCCCCATTTGCCTCCATACTATCACTATTTACCACAGAAGACATACCGCCACTTCCCAAGAGAGGTAGGGCATGGCATAATGAAGTGATGAAATTCGGACTTTAAACCTACTTTATTATCTTCAAATTAAATTAAGTCTGAGTGCTTGTTTGTGGAATGTTACAACTTACAACTGACTATGTCATCTGCGGTATCTCCTTTGGTGGTGATTAGATATTTTGTGTGTATTGGAAATATGTTTTGCATATGTATATTAATATGTTAAATTGCACCTAGTCGCATTACTAATATAACTTTGGCTTCTCTGTATTCATAATAACTGTCTCATTTCCTTCATTGCAGGTATATTTTCCGTACTCATTCGAATTTTGTGTTTATCTGTTACTAGAAGCTCTCTCTTCTTTTAATAGTTTTGAAACCAAATTTTAAAACATTAAAAATAATGATGACTATTCTTTTGCGACCGAAAGGTTACAAGTTCGAATTCAGGAAATATCCTCTTTACAAATATGGGTACAAGGATTGTCCTCACCTTTTACCTACACTAGTCATGGTTTAATGAGAAGTGGTTTAGAGTGGTTTTTTAGAAATAATGATGGTGTGCTAATTTGTAGTGGAAGTTTGTCTTTGCTGGTGTGATTGTTTGTTGCTTGCTCAATGCAATAACTTTCTAGTTTTGGACATTCTACTTTGTCATGATCTTATGACTCTTGGTTTATTTATGCAAACCATTAGCAGTTGTTTCGTTTGTTTTCCAGTTATTCCAGAATCTAAGAAGTTATTGTGAACTGCAGGTATGGCTTTATAACGTTGGCTTAGGTAGTCTTATATACGGCGTTGAGAAGATTTGTGATGGATCTGGTGAGGATCCATCTTGCAGCAGGTTAGTCAATCTGTTTTGTCATAATGCCACTGGAAATGTAGGATTCATCAGAAATTTTGCCACTGCTGTGAATTCCGTGTTACAAAATTTATAGAGTATCCCTTAATTTTGGTGTTATGATGGACTGGTGGGAGAGGTTTTAGCGATTTCCAATTTCCTGAATAGCTGTGATCCTGTACAGTAATGGTGCTGAAATTTGATTTGGTTATGTTATGCAGATCAGTGAGTGGGAATAGCATCACAGACCACTTAGTGTATTATGGTGTTAACTTGGCATCTGATGCACCAGGATCATGCAGAATTGTTATGGATCCTTATGTTCAAAATACTGGCATCAGAGATTCAAGAGGAAACTTCATCTGGTCCAGAGATCCTGCAACTCCCCTTCTCAAATTGAGTAGGGAGTTTGATAATCCCATTAATGTTGATTGAATTGCCATGGGATATCTCTTGTGGGGGCCTTATACTTCGTTCTTCATGGTCCTTCCAAATGGAGTGGTGTGGGCCATACAGCAGAAGAATTTTATTGAAATTGGCTAGGGCTGGAAGGAGTTTGTTTGTATATTTGTATATGCTCGTCCTTGTATATATATGATTAATAATTCTTGATACTGTTGTTAAGTGTACAAATTCACTTTCAAATTCTCCTCAATTTCACCCGTGGTTTGGGTGATATTTGTTTAACCTATTTGTCGTTTCTAAAGTTCAATTTTATTCATTTTTGTTCTGTTGCTCTTATTAATTCAAACTAGACTAGTCTTTCTCTTATTTGTTATTTTTATTTTTTGGTATCACTCTATTTGATCATTATTAATTTTCGCGAAGGTGTCAGAATTTTTATTTCTGTCATTCTCTAGAATTTTCAAATTGATGTTTTTATTTATTTTGCTGATTTTACGAGTAATGAAAGCTATGGCAATGGCATAGAAAAAAAAATATTAAAAAACGAGGGAAGTACTATAACCGTTCCATTATCTGCAATGTGTTACATTTTGAGAGGACGAAAGAAATGGAAACATAAAACTTAATAACTTATCAATATCAGAAACATGCATACATTAACACTAAATCTGAGCTATTTCCTACTTAGCGTGGAAACAGTATTAATTTGCACCATTAGCAGACAGCAATCACCATGGACTTGTTACACAAAGGTACATGAACAGAATGATTTCTGTATTAACTCCAGTTGTTGGATTCTCTATTTTCCCTGCAACACAAACATGCTTCAATTAATTCCTTTCACACTACAATTACTTCAATAAATGTAAGAGTTTTTGTTTAACCCCACATACCTCCTCAGCTTTCAAATCCTTTTCTTCACCTTTAGAGGTTGAAACATTTGTGCCTTTTATTTTCTCCTCTTCTTCATTGGCCAAACTCTCTTCCTTTACAATGACTTCCTCTGTACGCATATAAAAACCAAGTTAAAATTTATAATCAACAACTTATGCTTGACATGGTTAAAGAAATTTTTATGCAAAAATGATAAAGAAAACTCTAGAGGTTCATCCTTTGCACACCTTTTTCATTTTCTGCTGGTTTTTTTTCTTCTGCAGCACCATCAAAGACTTTCTGATCATTCTCTTTCAATGAATCATCTTTGCCACCTTCAGACTTCTCAGACATTCCCTCTACAGCAATTGTTTCCTGTGTCTTTCCCTCTGCTTCATCACCAGCTTCCTTTTCTTCTTCCACATTTGTTTTCTCAGCTTCGCCTTTAACACCTTCATCATCCTTACCTTCAACAACAAACTCTTTAACATTTTCACTTTCCTTCTGTTCCACTTCCACCCCTGAACTTACATTCTCAGCATTGTTGTTGTTGTTGTTGTTTTTGTCTTTGGTTTCTGTTCCATTTTCCTCGCCAACCTTGGTGTTGACACTGGATTTCTTGCTCTGGAGGACGGTGTTTCCTGAAACAACATCATGTTTGGATTTCCCACAACCCATTTGTTTATTTATTTTTTCTTCTACTTTTCTGTAAACTGATTGAGTAAAAAAACAGAGAGAAGTAGAAGGAAGCTTGAGATGAAGGATGGAATAACTCTCTCTTTAATAGAATAATATGAACAAGAGAAGGATTTTATGTTGTTATGATTTAGCGATGGAACTATGGCATGCATGGGTGTAATTAGGTGTCATGGTACCAACCATTTTTTCCTTTATTCTATAATTGGAACTTTGTATTGCCAGCTAATGGAAAAAAATAATAATAATATATAAGTAGTTGGTTATAATTAAGAAACTTCCTTCATTGAATGGAAAAAAAAAAAAAAAAAAACTCTTGTTTTCTGTTTTTCGGTTTCCCCCTCCTTCCAAGAATGGCAATATTGAGATTTTGATGTATTGGGTCCACTAAAATCATGAGAGAGATTAGTTACAGAAATTTTGTTCATATTTGGTTCTAACTTTTGATTATTTCTGATGCAAAAAAGTTCTTTTTTTTTTTTTTTTTTTTTCAAAAGCTTTTTAATAAGATTTTGATTATAAGTTATTTTGAACTTTAAGTTAATCCTATGGTTATGTGTAAACAAAAAAGTTTGCTTGGTTGATAGTTACTACCGTTCATGAATCTTCACATTGGTGTTGAGCCATCCACGATGAATTAATTTTGGACATTCACATGTAATTTTCGACTATGAACATAAATAATATGCATAATCCTTTTTTCCAGAATGTGATTTTGAGTGGCAATTAAACATTATTATTATTTCAAACTATTTCTAATTAAATATTTACAGAAGAAATAAGTATATTGGGAGCATTTATATGACGCTAGTTTCATAAAGTTAATAAGATCTTTCTTATTTTGCATAGATATAAAAAAAATTGTTATCTATAGTATAGCAAGTTCTCAGAAGCATTCAAGGGTGTAGGAAGAAATGCTTAACAGAAGAACGAGTTGGTGAATGGTGACATACCACCATATTGAGAATTAATTTGAATTGTCTTCAGTTACTGAAAATTTATATTTATAGGACCACCTACATCCTATAAATACCTAACAAGTCCAATTATTGAGGTACGTTTTGATATTTGTACTGTTAAACTGCAAGAATTACTACAGGCTTCGAACGTGGAAGTGTCTTATTTTGTAGGTATCCCCTTTTTCCCCGCCGTGGACCACCCTATTTTTGGCATTCCTAATTTCCTATGACTTCAGATTGATGGCAAATCGGAAATTCATAAGTAGCTCATCCCATCAAACGATGGTAGTTAAGTTGGTGTGGAGGCGAGAGTATATATTCGATTCTCTCAGTATCATTTTTGAAAGAAATTTAAAGCCTTAACCTTATATTCGCTCCGAACAAGATTGTCTGACCGACACCTTAATCTAAGCTTATAGGTAGCCCTTTCCGTAACTTCAATTTTTAATGAAAGTACCAATTATTATGGATATTGAGATCATCTCAAAAGCTAACTCAAAAGATGAGAGTGCTCAAGACTTTATAAACCCCATATTAATTACCTATGCAACCAATGTGTGATTCCCGACATTATACTATGTTATATTTAAGGATTCATGTACATAATAAAAAATTGTAAAGCAACAATAAATCATTGGGTATTATCTTCAACGTTTATTGACATGTGGCATTGTGGTCCAAGTTATGGAAATATTTATGGTACTACTGCTGTACCATTCACTCAGTGCATTTATCCAATAAAAATGAGGAATGATGGTCATGCTTGTATGCAAAAGAGAGAAAAATATTTTTTTTATCCAAGTGTGTTGTGGTCCAGCCCACCAGAGCACATCCCACACGTATGCGGACCAGCCCAAGATACTTGGATGAATATCTCACATGAGCCAAGCCCATAGTGCAGTCTGTTTTGCTTTAAATAAAATACGCAGCTTAACTGCATTTAGAAGATTAATTGTTTCAGTTCCTATTTTTAAGCATTTGTTATTTCCTTCGTAATTTAGAATTTGTTATTTTTCCTTCATAATTTAGGATTGGTTGTTACAACAACCTTACTCATTTAAATTCTAAACTAGGCTTTGCATTTTCTTTAAATATGGTAATTCAAACCTCAAAAGGGATCAGAGTTGTTTGACAATAATCTCATCTCTCTCTCTTCCTATTCGTTCTCCCTTCTATTCTTTCCTCTTCCCTCTACATTTGGTGCTTTCATTCCTGAACTTCCCTCCATGGCTGAAAAGACCACCCGCATGGCCCAAATGCAAGACCAGATCACCTCTGTTGAGGAACGGCTCACCACATTCATCACATCCGCGCATGAGGACCGCCAAGCATTCATGCAACAGATGCAACATTCCAACCAGGAGCAAATCGACCAACGGTTCGATCAGTTCCAGCGCGAAATAATCGCTCTCTTCGAGGCCCAACGCCTCCACCAACCGGCAGGTAGCGTTCTTGGACCAGGTCCACCACGCAATGATCCGACCAAACCAAAACCAGTACGCCTTGTCTTTCCACGGTTCGCCCAGGGTGACCCTACTGATTGGTTGTTTGTCGTGGACCAGTACTTTGATTATTATTCCATCACCGAACCGAAGAAGCTTCGTTTGGCCTCATTCCATCTCGACCCACCCGCACTTAGTTGGTACCGCAATCTGTCTCGCGAGGGACTAATTGCAAACTGGAGAGACTTTCGAACAGCCATAATCAGCCGCTACGGCCCAACAGTTTATGAGGATCCTGCCGGAGCATTATGTCGCCTGACTCAAACAGGTTCTATCCGAGACTACCAAGCCGCTTTTGAAACTATGTCCAGTAAAGTACATGGCATCACAGATGCCCTTCGCAAGAGCATGTTTATCTCGGGTCTCAAACCAAAGGTGCGTAGTGATGTGCAGGCCCATTTACCAGAGACTTTCCATGCGGCCTGGGGCCTTGCCCGCAATTTCGCTGAAGCTGAGGATCGCTCCTTGAGGTGGGGACAACGTACCCAGCCTACCAGCAACACTCTGCCTGGCAAACCACCCACAACCACGTCCACCTCCATTCCCATACGACGGCTCTCCCAAACTGAGATGATGGCACGACGAGAAAAGGGGCTATGTTACAATTGTGACGAACGGTATGTCTTTGGCCATAAATGTAAACCGGGTTCTTCCTTTATGTGTATGTTAGTAGATGATGAAGAAGAGATTGCACACGTAGAGGACACGGAGGAAGATTCTACTCCGGACACCCCCGCGTATCCTGAAATCAGTTTCAATGCCCTATTTGGCCACCACTCTACCAAGGCTTTTCGCCTGACAGGCACTGTTAAAGGCACAGCTGTCCAGATCCTGATCGACAATGGCAGCACCCATAATTTCATTACTGAACGCGCTGCAACCAACTTGCACTTACCCATCCAATCCATCAGCCCATTCCAGGTCCAAGTTGGAAATGGGGACAACCTATTCTGCAAAGGGATGTGTACTAAGGTTCGTATCACTTTTCCGCATCAACACATTTTTGACATTGACCTTTTTGTGCTAGAACTTCAGGGCGCAGATATTGTCCTAGGTGTTCAGTGGCTATCCACCTTGGGACCAGTTATCACAGACTACAACACCCTTACCATGACCTTTACCCACCACTCCCAACCCATCACTCTTCAAGGGAATACCTCTCTCACACCTTCCGCAATTACCAACTCCCAACTACACAAACTCATTGCCCAAGAACCAATCCAAGCCTATCTCATGTGCTTGACCGCATCACGTCCTCAGCCACATACAGACCCTACCCCTCCTATTCCTCACACCATCTCACCGATCCTAACCACTTTCCAAGATGTTTTCCTCAAACCCACTAAACTTCCTCCACATAGACCCACAAACCACCATATCCACCTTCTTCCCCACACAAAACCAATCCAGGTACGCCCTTACCGGTATCCCCATTACCAAAAAAATGAGATCGAGAAGTTGGTCCACGAGATGTTATCAGAGGGAATAATACGCCCCAACACTTCAGCATATAGCTCACCAGTTATACTCGTTAAAAAAAAAGATGGAACTTGGCGCTTTTGTGTTGATTATAGAGCCCTGAATGCAATAACGGTAAAGGAAAAGTTTCCTATTCCTACCATAGATGAATTATTGGACGAACTACATGGAGCTTCAATATTTTCCAAACTCGATCTACGGTCCGGCTACCACCAAATACTGATGGATGCCTCTGACATTCACAAGACAGCCTTCCGCACACACCACGGCCACTACGAATTTCTTGTGATGCCATTTGGACTGTCCAATGCACCATCTACCTTCCAGGCAACTATGAATGAGGTTTTCTCTGCCTTTTTAAGAAAATTTGTTGTCATTTTCTTTGATGATATCTTAATATACAGCACAACACTGACTGCCCATAAGGAGCACCTACTGACGGTTTTATCCACTCTACGGAAACATTCATTTTTTGCAAAACAGTCTAAATGTTTGTTCGCCCAAGAGCAAATTCAGTTTTTAGGACACATTATATCTGGTAAAGGTTTGTTACCCGATCCAGAAAAAATTCGTTCCATCACACATTGGACACAACCTAAAAACGTGACTCAGGTCCGTGCTTTCCTAGGCTTGGCTGGATATTACAGGCGTTTTATCAAACATTTTGCAACCATAGCTGCTCCTCTTTCAGACTTAACCTCTAAAAAAGAATTCAACTGGGGTGACAAGGAATCCGCGGCTTTTAACAAATTGAAGCTATTACTTACTACAACCCCTATTCTGATTTTACCTGATTTCTCAATTCCATTTATCTTAGAGACAGATGCCTCAGGTGTTGGCATCGGAGCAGCATTAATGCAGCATGACAGACCTATCGCTTTCTACAGCCGAAAATTATCTCCAGCAATGCAAAAGAAATCTACCTACATACGCGAAATGTTTGCTATTACTAGTAGCGTTGCAAAATGGAGACAGTATTTATTGGGCGCTACCTTTGTCATTCGTACTGACCATAAGAGCTTATTCCATCTGATGAACCAAG